TTCTGTACAACATGAGCATTGTTCTTTCAAGATCTGTAAAGAATTATGTTGAAATTTTGATGGTAATTGTACTGAATCTGTAGATTACGTTTAGTAAGATGGCCATTTTTACTATGTTAATCCTACTGATCCATGGGCATGAGAGATCTCTCTATCTTCTGATGGCTTCTTCAGTTTCTTTTTTCAGAGACTTGAAGTTCTTGTCATACAGGTATTTCACTTGTTTGGTTAGAGTTACACCAAGATACTTTATATTATTTGTGGCGATTGTGAAGGGTTTCCCTAATTTCTTTTTCAGCCATTTATCATTTGCATATAGGAGGGCTACTGATTTTTTTTATTTAATTTTATATCCAGGTACTTTGCTGAAGGTATATATCAGCTGGTAGAATTTGGGGGATCACTTATGTATACTATCATATCATATGCGAATAGTGATACTTTGACATCTTCCTTTTCAATTTGTATCTCTTTGATCTCTTTTAGTTGTCTTATTGCTGTAGCTAGAACTTCCAAGTACTATATTGAAGAGATATGGAGAGAATGGAAAGCCTTGTCTTGTCCCTGATTTTAGTAGAATTGCTTTAAGTTTTTATTTAACTTGATGTTCATTGTAGGCCCCCTATATATTGCCTTTATTTATGTTTAAGTGCATCCCTTGTATCTGATCTCTCCAAGACTTTTATCATGAAGAGGTGTTGGGTTTTTTTAAAAGACTTTTTCAGCATCTAGTGAGATGATGATCTGTTGTTGTTTCTTTCAGTTTGCTTATATGGTGGCTTATATTGATGGATTTTCATATGTTGAACCCCCTGCATCTCTGGGATGAAGCCTACTGGATCATGGTGGATGAGCTTTTTGATGTGTTCTTGGATTCAGTTTGCGACTATTTTATTGAGTATTTTTACATCAATATTTATGAGGGAGATTGGTCTAAAATTCCTTTTTTTTGTTCAGTCTTTGTGTGGTTTTGGGCGTTAGTATGACTCTGGCCTCATGAAATGAATTTGGAAATGTTTTTTTTCTGTTTATATTTTGTGGAATAACTTGAGAATATTGGTATTAGCTCTTCTTTGAAAGTCTGGTAGAATTCTGCCCTGAGATTTTTTTAGTTGGGAGATTTTTAATTTCTATTTTAAATTAAATTCTAATTTAATTTCTATTTCCTTAGTGGTGTTAGGTCTTTTTAAATTGTTTATCTAATCTTGATTTAACTTTGGTCTTATCTATCAAGAAAATTAGTCATTTCTTTCATATTTTCCAAATTTGTGGAATACAGGTGTTTGAAATAAGAATGAATGATTCTTTGGATTTCCTCAGTGTCTGTTATGTCCACCTTTTGATTTCTGATTTTGTTATTTGGATATTATCTCTATGTCTTTTAGTTAGTTTGGTAAGTGTTTCTCTATCTTGTCAATTTTCTCAAAGAACCAACTCTTTGTTTCATTGATTCTTTATATTTTTCTCTTTGTTTCTACTTTATTGCTTTCTTTTTTATTTTTATTTTTTTAATATTAGTTACAGTTTGTTAACTTTGTATCCCTGCTGTATCCCACTCCCTCTTTCCCTCCCAATCCTACCCTCCCACCCTCATCTTCTCCCTGCCCCTTCCAAAGTCCACTGATAAGGGAGAACCTCCTCCCCTTACATCTGATACTGGTTTATCAGGTGTCTTCAGGACTGGCAGCAAAGTCCTCCTCTGTGGCCTAGAAAGGCTGCTCCTCCCTGGGGGGTGGGGGGGAGGTCAAAGAGCCCGCCATCGAGTTCACATCAGAAACAGTCCCTGTTCCCCTTATTAGGGTACCCACTTGGATATTGAGCTACCAAGGGCCAAATCTGAGCAGGGGCTCTAGGTTGCCTCCATATGTGGGCCTTGTTTGGAGAAACAGTCTCATAACAGAGCCCTGTGCCCAGATATATTTGGTCCTGTGGAACTCCTGTCCTCTCCAGGTCATATTAACTCCCCCCCTCTTTTTTTTATTCCCTGCATTCTGCCAGAGGTTTGATTATGGGTGTTAATATCTGCTTTGATACACTGCTAGGTAGAGTCTTTCAAAGGCCCTCTGTGGTAGGCTCCTGTCCTGTTACTTGTTTGCTCCTACATCCAATGTCCATCCCCTTTGTCTTTCTAAGTGAGGATTGCTCATCGTAACCTAGGTTTGCTGATTTCAATCCTCAGTTTAATTATCTTTTACCATCTACTCCTGTTGGGTGTTTGCTTCTTTTTGTTCTGGAGCTTTCAGGTGTAATAAGTCACAAGTTAGAGATCTCTCAAATTTCTTTAAGAATTCACTTAGTGCTATGACCTTTCCTCTTAGCACTGCTTTTATTGTGACCCATGCTTTGGGTAGGTTGTGCATTCATTTTCATTGAATTTTTAAAACTCTTTAATTTTTTGTTAATTTCTTCCTTAACCCAGTGGTCATTTAGCAGAGAGTTGTTCAGAGTTTCCATGGGTTTCTAGACTTTATGTTATTTCTGTTGTTCCTGAAGTCCTGCTCTATTTCATGGTGGTCTGATAAGTTACAGTGGGTTAGTTCAATTTTCTTTTATCTGTTGTGACTGACTATATAGTCAGTTTTGAAGAAGGTGCTATAAGGCGCTGAGAAGAAAGTATATTCTTTTGTGTTTAAGTTAAATGTTCTGTAGATATCCATTAGGTCGATTTGACTCATAAAATCTGTTAGTTTCATTATTTCCCTGTTTAGTTTCTGTCTGGATGACCTGCCCATTGTTGAGAGTGGGGTGTTAAAGACTCCCACTATTAATGTGTATGCTTCAGTGTGTGATTTAAGTTTCGTTAATGTTTCTTTTACAAATATGGGTGTCCTTGCATATGGGGCATAGATATGCAGAATTAAGATGTCATCTTGTTGGATTTTTCCTTGATGATTATGAAGTGTCCTTCCCATATGTGGACTTGGGGGAATCTGGGGTGGGAAGACAAAAGGGGACTATGAGAGGGAGAAAAGGGAGTGTTAAGGGAGAAAAACAAAAGAAAGTAACAATACCTGTGCATGAAAAGGAACTACTTACTGTATTTGTAGTGGGGAATTTATACAGATTTGGCGTGAAAATAGAGAGAGAGATCTGTGAACAAAATGAAAAGCAAGATGATGAGCAAGGAAATGTCTGCATAACTATAGCGGAGGGGTACTGTCCTTGTTATATAAAGATGTTTTATGTATGAATGCTCTATCTGCATGTAGAAATGCAGGCCAGAGGACGGCATCAGATATCATTATAGATGGTTGTGAGCCATCATGTGGTTGCTAGGAATCGAACTCAGGACCCCGGAAGAGCAGTGCTCTTTACCACTGAGCCGTCTCTCCAGCCCCTGTAGTATGAGTTTTTCATGTGAACAAGTATAGACATGGCAAAGAACACACAAAGCATTTGCATGCTACCTTAAAAAGTAATTACATATATGAGGAGAGGGTTCTTGCGCTTCCAGGCTTCTGGAGCCATGAGTAAGATTTTAATTGAGGTGCCCCAACAACACTCCAAAAAGTCTGCTCATCATATTACCAAATAGCAGTATTTTTAAAACTCAAATTACAGACATGGAAATTCTTATTAGAAAGCATTTGGCATCCCAAGAATTGTTTTCAGAATTACACTTTTCATGAAGTAATAAGAAAGAGCAGTACCTAACTCATAGGGTCCTCCAAGAAAGACAGTGCAGGTCACAATAGGAAGATCTAAATTCCTTTTGCCATATAACCCAACATTTCCAGATATACCAGGAATTTTTCAAAATTATTTTTAAGTTATGTATTAGACTTGTGTGTAAAGTATATTTCTCATATGTAAGGTCAAGATTTTAGCCATGATGTAAGCTAAAAGGAAATGAAATAAAACGTCCAAGCTTTCACATGCTGATACGTGTCCTGTACGTTGAAATAAGATTTATGTGCTGCCAAATGGCTCAGCGGATAAAGGCAGCATGGACGGCCAAGCCTGACAAACTGAGTTCAATCTCTATGACCCATGTGGTAGAAGGAGAGAACTGACTCCATGTCATGTTTACACACACATGCACACAAACACACATGTAATTTTTAAAAATTAAAGAATAAATAATGTTTATTTGTGTTAGCGTCTGGAGACATAAAGCAATAGTCTTGATTCCAGCCACTGTCTGCTCCATGTCAGTAGATGTCTAATGCAGATTTTAGGCCTTTCTGGATTGCAGACCGTACATTCTCCCATCTTACATTCAAATATTTTTGATGGCTCTTAACAGTAGTCATTATTCTCCATATCACTGTAATTTGAATATATTGGTCTTAGTAGCCAACACTGCTGAAATCTATCCATTCCCTTAAAAACTGGGCTTTTGTCTGGAAAGGGTGTTTCTCTTTTCAAAGCTCTTTTTAAGTTGGCAGTGGTGTGGTACCTGCGAACTCAGCACTCAGGAGGCTGAAGCAAGAGGGTTACTGTGACTTTGAGGCCAGCCTGGGACATGGGGAAACCCTTTTCCTAAAAAGTGGTAGTAGTAAACCGTTAAATTCATTTAATTAAAAACTGCTCTTCACCATGGGAACCCAGCTGGAGTCAGGCAGTCATGGCACTGATCTCTGGAGGGCTCATGGCTGACTAGTCAGTTGCAGGGCAGTTAGCCAGACAGCTACAACTGGGATAAATGCTAAAAGTCAAACTTTTAAATTCTGAGAGCACATGCTAGGGAATGTGGCCACGTTTGTCAGAAAAGGCCCCCCTGAGGAAGTGTTGCATCAGTCACCTAGCTAGGCAGACAGAGGATACTAGCAAGCACAGGGGAACTAAGGCAGATGCAAGCTTAATGCTTTTGAGGCTCCTCATAGAGGCAATGTGCCTGTGTGCTAGAAGCAGAGATTAGGTGGGGTAGATAGAGTACCCTCTCATGAAGGTGTAAAGAGCATTTAGGCTTCCATTGAAGGTAAGGCTCCGGTCATACTTGTTGATAGCCCATAAAACTGAAACCAAGTCACTCTGTCATCTCTGTATGTCTTTCTCAGGAATACAACTGGAGAAACTATCAGCCCAGCCAGATGAGCGAATCCGAGCTGCAGATGCTGGCAAGCCTCAGACGGCAGCAGAATGAAGACCTGGAGGACCCTGGGGCTCCTCATGGCCTGAGTGCATCCCAGGTGGACAACTGCAATGTCAGCATCAGTACCAGCAGTGATGACACGACCACATGGAACTCCTGCCTGCCACCTGTGAGTCCTGCCCTTTGCATCTACTCCCTTGCCTTCAAAAGCAGCAAGCGAAAACTTAGCCTCTCACCAGGAGAAGCATGCAGAACTCATTCTGAAACAGTCTTTTTGGGAGAGGGACAGATAGTAGAGGGACGGATAGTTGTCTTGCCTTACACTGTCTTATACAGTCTTGGGAATGTGTATATAATGATTGATTGTCTTAGTTCCCTTTTATTGTGTATGATGATTGATTGCCTTAGTTCCCTTTTATTCTGTACAATAGATGAGAACCATGTCATTGATACACACAAAGAGCTATTTTGTTTACTTCTAAAGGCTGAAAAGTTCATGATCAAAAGGACCTGCATTTGGGAAAGGTCTTCTTTAGTCCTCATTCCATGAAGGCATGGAGAATGGGGTCAGAGTGGGAAATGCATTAGTGGATAGGGGTTCGATGAATCATTTTATCAAGAATTCATTTATGAACTCAGAGTCCTCATACCCTAACCACCACTTAAAGGTCCCACCTCTCTTCTCCATCATTTGAATGATGAAGTTTCTAACACTTGGGGAGGGGGGCATGCAAATAATAGCAGTATATAGAATCATACAGTGAAATGGGCTCTGACAATTCCTGCTCCTATCACAAGCTCTTTGCCACACAAAAGAATATTAATATTTTTCAGTAAAATACTTATTAAGTGAATGGACAAAGGGAGAGATTACAGACATACTAAATCCTGCTTACCTATGAGGACAGTCAGGACCTCTATAGAACTCACTGGATGTTCACTGACTGACGCCTGCCTGTGTTTGGGAGCCATGATAGGAGTTGCAGATATTATTTTTAAAGGCTTACATCCTCTTGTGTACACCGGTTAAAACACATTGGCATAGTCATCGTCCTTCCTGTGGCCTAGCAGAGAAGGAAATACACAGTAACTTTGACGAAAGCTTGTATATCGCTGTATAAAGCTAGGGGTGTAGCACAGTGATGGAGTCCTTGCCTAGCAGGTGTGACTTCTGGATTCCATCCCCAGTGCTGAAACACTAATAAACAGAAGCTGACTCTTCTTCACACAGACTCTCTGCAATCCCAACTAATATAGCAAGAAAAGAACTCTGACTTCTACCATGCCGACTAGGTTCCTGACTATCTCTGGACTACTTCCTTTGGTACCAAATAGAAATAATGAAAAGTTCCCATAATAGAAACATAAATAGGGGCCTAGAGAGACAGTTCATAATTTAAAAGTACTCACTCCTCTTGTAGAGGACCTGGATTTGGTTTCTGACACCCATATGGTGGCTCGCAGCCTCCTATGGCTCCAGTTCCAGGGGATCCTATGTCCTCTTCTGACCTCCAAAGGCACCAGACACACATGTGGTGCACATACAAACATGTAGACAAAACACTCAAACACATAAAATAAAAATTTAATAAATCTTTAAAAGTTTCAATTATTTTAAACCTACATAAATATAAATGTAGAGGACAGAAGGTATGTTCCATGTATTTAATAAATACTCACTTTGCAATCTGCTTTTATGGGAAAGCCAGTTCTTCCCAGGCTCCAGCATCTTTGTCGACCTTCCATGTTTCAACAGCCCCCTCTTTTAGTAGTCACATGTGTTACCTGAGTGCTTCCTGCTGCCCTGAGAGGTTTCACTTCCCAGGGAGACTACTGAGGCTCTCAAGAAGTGGCCCAACTCTCTACCCGACTCTTGATATGTGAGTTGCTTGTCAAATGGGTGCTGCAGACATCCAATGGAAGATGAGGTTCCTGTGCTCTTGAGAGAACATGCAAGTCATCATGGAAGGCAAATTCAAAGAGACTCAAGGAGATGCAAAAGTCACCACCAACATTCACAGAGAGCCTTTTATCTCCATCTTCTCTGCCCGAGCTTTCTCTTGCTTAATTTGTGGTTTCATTAGACACAGCCATGGATACACATAACTCTCTAAGCAGCCTTGGTGCTGGAGAGTGTACACCACCCAGAAAAATGCTTATGTCCCCATGACTTTGGCCATGGAGCGTCTTTGCACCAGAGTAAAAATTTTAAGAGCCGGTTGCTGACAAAAGTGAAATCATGCCTTTCTTATAGAATACTCCTCAGCAGTCATTTAAACCCCAGTTAGAAAGAGGACAGTAGCCTCCGGATGGAGCTCATTTTGTTAGGAAGTGGCTCAGAGACCAGCAGTACAGAGGGCAAGCTGAGGAATGATTATTTATGGGCTGAGAAGTCTGAACTCTTGGTTGCCCTGGATACCGGGTTCTCATCACTGTCCTGTTCTGGCAAAAACAGGAGTCTCCTGCATGACAAGTACTCTGCTGTAAAAGCACACGGCCAAAAATAACACCATTAGTAATGAACTTAATAACCCTCTATTCAACTAAATGAGAAACTGAAAAGTCTATTTTTCAGACCGAAAAAAATTTGAAAATCCTACCTTTAGTATTCATAGGATATGTTTATTATTTCATCAGATTTAGTTTGTTCCAATATTGGAACTATCAACAAATGGGAAATTGCATTCCGTAATGAACTCTGCATCCTGCTGCTCCTGTGGAGTTTAAATAGAGCAATTTACAAGCATTGTTTCAGCCCTTCTGAGAGTGTGTGCCTTTCTCCTCAGAAAAGGTGTGGAGATACTGAGAAGCCAAGTGACAGGGTTCCCAGCGTTATAGTCACTGAGATGCTCCACTCTTCTTTTGTTTCAGTGGATAGTGCTGCCCCACCCAGTGGTGCTCAAGCCGAGATCGGAAGGCATCTCCCCCGCCCCACATTCTCCTTCCCCCATATACATATCAGTCTTCAGATTCTAAGGCTTTTCTGCTTGTTTATTTTCTAATTAAGTTTTCATTTATTTATTTATTTTCATTTATGTATATTATCTTATGTGTATGAGTTTGGCTCGCTGTGTGAATTCCTGGTGCCTAGAGGTCAGAAGAGGATGTCAGATCCACTGGAACTGGAGTGCTGGGGACCAAACCCAGGTACTTTGCGAGAGCACTGGTGGTCTTAACTGATAAGCTCTCTCTCCACCTCTTTGCATCTTAACCCCTACTGCCTAACACCACAGGCTTGGCATGGTGCTGTTCGCCTCATTGTCTTCAGCAGTACCTCCTTATCTCCTGTCTCTGGTCCCAGTACCAGAGGCTGGGGGTTAGGAGCACTGGTTCTGAAGTCAGTGTCATGACTCAAAGCCAGCCTATTAAAGCAGCCGGTGCTGAATTTGAAACACAGTCCGCACTTGGTAAAACCCTCAGTGCTCCAGGGTGGTTGAGAGGCTGAGAACACTTGCTGCTCTTGCAGGAGGCCAGGATTCTGCACCCATGGCAGGCAGCTCACAGCCTCCTGCATCTCCAGCTCTAGAGGATCCAGCACCTTCTTCTGGTCTCCATAGACATTAACACACAGGCCGTATGGTCACACAGACACACACACATAAACAAAGTAAATCTTTTTAAAAACTGAGTTCTTATTTTTCACACTAGACCTCTGTAGGGCCCAGATCTGCCCTCCTCTTCCCCTCAGCGCTTCCCCATATCCTCTTGAGTCTGACCGAGGGGTCCCTGCACTCTGAGAAGTGCCCCCATCTCAGCCTTGCTTCTCTCCACACTTTGCTCCATGCTTTCAAACCATTATAGTTCCCTAGCTACACCGTGTGAATATCTGTGGACCTTGCACCGATTACCCCTCAGACAGCTCGAGAACTTTCTGTGACTCTACTCTCACTGTGACAGTGATATCTTACTTTATGCACTAGAGCCAGGGACCTCTAACTCCTGTCCCAAACTTGCCCATTTGTGTTACATTCACTTATTCTATGCCTGTTTTAGTACAATGTGTCGGGGACTAGGCTGGGTGTTGGGGATAAAACTTGTCTCCAACTTAAGATGTTCATAGACAAAAGCTCTGTAATTCAGGATGATGAGGAACAGTAAAACAAAGAACTGTGGGAAGATGACGGAAGGCGCATTTGTACAGGTTCCAGGTGTGCTTTCAGAAAAGGCATTGGTTAAGCCAGAGTTCAAGAGCAAGTGAGGTTTACATGTGGACTAAAGGGAAGAAGGAATTTCAGATTCAGAGGAGGTGCAGGCTTAAGTCTGTGGAGGTGAGAGCAGTGTCTCTCATGCCAGATGCTGCCTGTCCTAGCGCCTCCCCTCACCCCATCCAGCATTTGCAGAATGAAGCTATCCTCCAGCCACACTCTGTCACCTGGCCATCCCTGAGGGAGCCGCTGGCCCTGTTCTCTTCCATCCCGTGTCCTCCGCTGGGACACACCCACTTGTTTGTTTTGCTTTTGTTTGGGTTTGGTTGTTTGTGTTATCTGCTTTGCTTACACATTGACTCACTTTTCATTGAAGAATTCTTTTGCATTCATTTATTTGTGAGGGAAAGCACCACCGCAGCTTGGGAGAGTGAGTTTTCTTCCCACATGGCAGTTCAGAGTTAGTTCCACATGGAATTAGTTGATCCCAAGTTAATCAGGCTCTGTGGAAACCACCATTACCTGTTGAGCCATTCCCCTAAAGAATTTATCTTTAAATTGCTTTACATTTACTACAAGACTGAAAGTTACAGAAATATCAAATAAACGTCCCTGTCCTCACGTATATTCAGCCTCCTGCATTATCAGCAGAGTCAGCCAGAGCAGTTAGTGACATTAAATAACCATTGTTACCAGTGTCCCCAGTTCTGGACATCAGACCCGTAAAGACTTGAGGCTGCACAGCTCCTCATCAGTCACTGTCTAAATGAAACCATCAGTGGCCTGCACACGAAATAATGCCTTTTACTTTAAAGTAAACTGCCTTTCTTCAGCTCCAAAATAAACATTAGCTTTGTTTCGCTTAAGTAAAGCTTGAGTGGCGCATGGAATATTTTACGTCAAATATTGATAATAAACGTTCAGTATATACCCAGAGAAGCTCTCTGTCTGAGCAAAACTCCGTGAGCAATTGGGTGCAAAGGAGATTCAGTGGGTCCCGTGTCTGTCCTATGGGAGGACTTCA